AAGTTTTTGGATATTTTATTTATTTTATACGGGGAAATGTTCATGTTTGGAAAGGGTATATACTTTTTCGCGATCAGGTAATTTCATATATGTTCTTTTACCGGGTTTAAAGATTCAGAAAATTTTTATGCATTTTCGTGAATTTTCTAATTTATGAGAAAAAGAGGTACATGGATATAGTGAAGAGTGTGCGCAATGCCATTTTTGTGCAATTCTGGGATTTTTTTTTAAGTACAAAAGTCGACGTGTACATGGTTTAGTGATATTTTATTAAATGATAGTTATTTGTGAATTTTATGCTGTAGGAATTTGGTATATGTTTTAGTTGAAGTAAACGTGCATAGAAATAATTTAAATATTTGACACTAAGTATTGTAATTTTGCGGTATGAATTCGTGGTGACGTTTAAAAATAATGGATAATTGAGAGGTAAAAGTTTTTGGATATTTTATTTATTTTATACGTGGAAATGTTCATATTTGGAAAGGATATATACTTTTCGCGATCAGGTAATTCATAATATTTTCTTTTTACCGGGTTTAAAGATTCAAAAAATTGTCATGTATTTTCGTGAAATTTTTCTAATTTATGAGAAAAAAGCAGTGTACATGGATATAGTAAAGAGTGTGCGCAATGCCATTTTTGTGCAATTCTGGGATTTTTTTTTAAAGTAAAATAAGTCGACGTTGTACATGGTTTATGTGTATGTGTTATTTGAAAAATGCGTAAGGAGTATGGTATTGTGCACTTTTTCCTAATTTTGCAGTGAATATTTGTCATGATTTAAGCAATTTTGTTAGATAAATTTTCTAGCATAAGTGTAATTTGGCTTGTAGATGTTGGAAGAAGTGTTCAGTAGATAAAAAGAAAAGAAAACATGTCTTACTTCGTGAAGACAAAATGGCGGCGGGAAAAAAAAAATAGAGGGTTGCTGTAGGAGAGTTGGTCGCCAAATTTTCGCCAAAAAATCGCCAAGTTACCATAATGTAAAGATCAACCCAAATAATAACTCAAATTATCAATTTCAGTTTCAGGAACCTTTTCTATTATTTTGAGGTCTTTCCATTTCTTAAAATCTACCTTATAGTCATCTAACTAATTTTCCTCATTAATTCGTTGACACATTCTTTGATGTCTTTTAAAAGTCATAGACTTATTGTTAGGTAACAGATTTTCAGATTTAAAGGATAGTGGCAATTTGTATCGGCTATCAGGAAGAACATTTAAATTCTCTTTAAATTGCCTAATGGTGTCAGAGTGAGCAAGTTTATGTTTAACATCTTCAGTTGGGTCTGTTATGCCAATGGCATCTAAATTCCAGAGTTCGGTTACGCTGAGATTGGCACAGTGCAACAAAACTACATTATTGCACAAATTATTTTCTAGTAATGCTGGAATAGTAGCTGAAGTAGGTTCTTTAGATAAGCTGTTTACTGTGCTAATCACAGTGTATCCTAATTTAGTCTCAACTACAGTTACACCAGAGTTCAGTTTCAGAGAGCTGCCAGTAATAATGTCCCCGATGGACATTTGTTTCTAAAAGCAACTCAATGTCATATTCTTTAGCTTGCAAATCAGATAAGGTAATATTTCTTTCTTTTAATTCTTTTAGGGTATTGGGATCAATTACTTTTGGAACACATCCACATATTTTGTTTTGAGAAAGTGCTTCAAAGTTATGGTCATACGTGTCCTCAAAATTTCTTAAATTAACATCAAACACTAAATGGAAATGAGGACTTGTCTCTCTCCCCCCAAACGAACCCCAAACAAAAGTTTAAAAAGTGACGAAGTCAGTACGTTGTTTTGGCAGATTCGAGACTAATTCACAGGCTTGGAAACAACTCAAGAAGAAGTTTTGAATTTGTTGCTAAGTTATGATGCCCTTCAATTTCCTCGCTTAGTTCGCAGTTAAAGGAAAAAAAATAAGAATAATAAAAAATAGTCCAATCAAATGCGGCGCTCCTTCTGTGGACTTCGCACAGCCGTTACGCAATCGTCTGTGTGCAGCAGCCGTCTCCAACACCAAATTTGTGCAATTCTTTGACTTGTTGTTTTGGCTTTGTGTAGTGGAGATTTTTGTGCCAAAATTCACCACTGCACAAAGCCAAAATAACAAGTCAAAGAATTGCACAAACTCAGTGTCCATGTATCACCAAAAATCACCAATTTTTGCCAAGGGGCAGCTGTAAACATATTCTTTATGAATTGTCCTTATTGTTGAAGTTTACACGTTCAGTGCAACACCAATTTGACATTGACATTCACCATTATCTAATGTTCTAAGCACTTGCATTTTATTTTCTAGTGAAATGTTTTTTCTTGTCGCTTTATTCTTTATATGTCGTCACTCGTTTCTTATTATAACGCATATTAAAAACAAAAAATTATAATATTTATCACTATATCAATGATTACATAAGATAAATTTATACTTACCATAACAGCAACAAGTGTTTGAAATAATAAAAATATGTTTGTGTAATATACATTTCACACTTATCTGTATTATGTCTAGAGAGAAGTAGTGATACAGATTTACTACTTTTTATTTCGGGGAAGCCCAATGCTGCTTGCAATTTTCAGGAAATTCCATTATTCCAATAAAAACTCGTTAAACTAAAACTACACTAAACGAACCAGCATTAAGTAAGTCTTTGTATGCTGTTTATTCTCAAATAAATTACTGTGTTTCACTTTTAATTTTGCTCATGCATTTAATAATCTGAAATAATAATTTTATTTCTGATAACATGTAGAAACTTGTTAAGTGACATTGAAGTTGTTGTTGTGACTAATCTCACTTGTCTGACCTAATAACAACAAGCTCACGAATTTTATCCTGGCAAGGAGTACGAGATTACATGTGTCATTAGCAAGAGCTTTGAGCACCATACTAGTGATAGTATGACTTTGCTTTTGTCGGGCATGGAAGTAGACTTTGTTATGATAAGTCATATAATGTATGAATATATGCTGAGCTGAGATTAGAAGGAAAAACATACCAGTGTAAAATTTAAAATTAGACAAAAAAAGCAAACTGAGTTTTGCTAGTTCAAAATCTATACCAAATTAAGTTTGCTATTTTTGTCCTCTTTAAGTGTGTTTAGTTTTAAAATACTTTTCAATCTTATACCATATGCAGTACTAAGTCCATAATCCGGACTCGCTGAGACTTCAGCGATTCCGTATTAAGAATTTTTCTGGATTATGATCATCAATTTAAATCTGGTAAGATGGCATGCAGAAATTATACAGTTAAAAATATGAAACCGTAATTTATGAAATAAAGAGCAATTATGATCTAAAGGGTATCAAAATTTACAAAAAAAAAAAAAAAAAAAAAGTTTAATATTATTTGTTTAGTTTATTAAGCATTTCTTTCAATGTAAGTTGTTTAAGTTGCTTCAATTTTTGTGCTAAACGTGCATGCGTAAACATTAATGCGCATGCATATCATTAAACGCGTATGCACAAAAGCATACAAAAAGAAAAGTTTGTGGCTTTGAGGTCCAGATTATAGATCATTCTGGATAATGGACGTCCGGATTACAGACTGTACTGTAGTACTTTTCCTGTTCTGTGTACTTTCATATAATGCAGTTGTGGTCTTGTGTCTATTTCTGGTTTGATTATTTTCAAGAAATAAATTACAGGAAACAAACAATGATTTGAACTTTTCATGTAATGTGTCAGTGAATCATACTCTTAACAGATAATTTCTTCTTTTGCTATAGTCTGTTATTTTAGAATAGGCACTTCAAGATCGTTCATCCTTCTGCTGCCATGTAATCATTGTAACAACTGCTGAAGAAGATGGTCAAGTCCTAATTTGCTAAAATGGCCACTTTGCAATGAGGATTTAGAGATTATTTAGAGCTAATAGATGTTATCGTGGTTTAAAGAATTTGTGTAAATTATACTTCAAGATAAAAATAAATATTTATAAAACTCTTATTAGACCTATCATATTGTATGGTAGTAAATGTTGGTGATGCATGAAAACAGAGGAAGAAAGACTTTTAATTTTTGAAAGAAAAATACTGCAAAAAATATATAGCCGAATTAGAGAAAATAATAGATGAAGAATTTTGTTTAACCCTGAAATATATAGAAGATACAAACAAGTCATCAAATTTTTAGATATGAAAAAATAGATAGGATAAAAATACGACTGATATCAGGTGGTGTATTTTTCGCATCATATTTTTAGATGTGATAGCTTGAACCCTGTTAAAAAGGTGACCTTTGCAAATGTAGAGGGTACCAGGAAAAGAAGACCTCGCACAAGATAGATAGACTGTGTGGATACAGATCTCAGGACTGAAAATCAATCAGTGGTAGACTGTAGTGACTAATCAGATCTGTTGGAGGAAACTTGTTGAGATGCTCCTGACCAGTGATAGGCTGTAGTGCAACTGAAGAAGAAGAGAAGAAAAAATCACATTTCATTATTCTCTGATAATTTAAAATTATATAAGAACTGTAGCTTTTTTTTTAATCATAAAATTTCTTTATTCATATTGTCAAGAAATAAAGTGGAAGTTAAATAGTAATATATTAACCCTCCAACCTTCAAAACTATAATATATGTTCAGTGATATTTTTCTTGTGCTTAATGATGTAAATATTCTAGTATATTTAAATGTTCCCAAACCATTAATGTAACATTATGCAAGAAAAGGAGTCTCAGTATAATGCTGCAAGGCCATTTTGGAATTGTAACTGAGGAAATATATTTTTCATGGAAATTTTTTGGAACTTTATTGGGGGATCCAAATCCTCAGATGATTAGAGGGCTAATAAAAGTAATTTTAGCTTTGTATGAGTTTCTCAAGATCATAATACCCATTGTGTACTTTATTATCATTTTAATCTCCATTCATAAGGAAACAATATGTGCAATTTAATGTATGATGAATAGTTAAAAATGTATTAGTTGTGTTAGTTCTTTTCAAATTATATCCATATACAATGAATATATTTGTTTCTTGAAACAGGATTCAGTTTCTGAATTGCTACCTAAAGTTAAATCATGCAGTTTACTCCAAAATCAAGAAGGCAGTTTAATTTAACTGGGAGAAGAGATTCTACATTGTATCCTCATTCTTTACAATTTTATAAATATCCTCCCCTGGATACAATAACTTTAGAGCAGTTTGAAGAATTGGCTTTAGAAAGATTAAAAGGTAAATCTATTTTCATTTTATTTAGTTATTTTAATGTGCAATGAAGCATGTAAATTTTATAGCAGTATAAAAATTATACATACAACTAACAACTTGGTAATTATTTTTGTGTCTTTTAATGCTCTTTTTTTCTGAGATTAAATACCAATGAAAGAAAGAATTATTCTTCAGAACTTGTATATTGACAGATTTGCAAATTATTTATTAAATGACCCAGAGTTATATAGGTAGAAAATATATCAAGCTACAAAATATCACAGCATAGTTGGATTTTTCATTGCAACTATTTATTTATTATTTAATTATAATTGATAAATAAATAGTTGTTTATTGTCTCTATCTATGTATATATATATTGTCATACTGGTGCAAGAATATAATGATTTTTCTCCTACGAAGTGTAAATTTGGAAGACCTAACTGTGTAAAGCACCTTAACTATACGTAACATTTAGAACCAGAAGTGAGAATGCCAGCAGCAAGAGTTGTACATGTGTATATGAGTGATGATGTGTTTTGTATATAATAAAATAGCATATAATTGAATACAGTGTCTTGTGTCATAAATACCAACTAAAGACACAGTACTAATTATGTGTAGCATTTATAAATATGTTAAGATTTTATATTATAATTGTTTTAACATCACTGTTTAGTCTAAGTAAATGGATCAAAAAGATATTTATTCATTAACTTTTATTTTGAAACAAAATATATTTGCTTCCAAGTATGCATCTTTTAAAATATTACCCCAGCATTGACTAAATCTATGATATAGAAATAGTTTTTCTTATACTATTTGATTCTGGTGATTAGATGAGCTAGCTGCATGTGATTTTCATTCTTTTCTTCTTTCATTGTTTCCTTAGAAAATTCATAAAGAAAATATCTCTTGCCTTAACCTAGTAGTGCATATATGCTTTGCTTTAATTAATTAATCCAATTCTTCTGAAAGACAAGCTTATTTTCAAGCTACTTTATTCCTGTAACTTTTAAACCACGAGGACACGCGTCGGGCCTACCAGGCCCGGTCGTTACAAAAACATAATACAAAAATTCGGTCGTTACAAAAACATAATACAAAAATTTCACCTGTTGGTGAAATTTATCGATCTTCTCAGTAGCTGTGTTTGAGGTCATGTACGTGTCATTCACAACATTTCCGAAATTTATACCTCCATCTTTTCTCAGAAATTGAGTAGGCGAGCTTCCCAGGCCCGAGGCGCTCACTCGCATTGTCATTTAAACTTATGAAAGAGGTCAGGTAGTTGCAAAAATGTCTCGCTATTTGAGTTATGGCAATGAAATGAAAAGATTTACAGAAACTATTCATCGACGTTTCGACTGATGAAGATTCAGTTAATGAAGAAGACGAAGAAATAGTTGATGAAGAACAGTTTAGCGATCACCAATCAAATTCTGAAGAAGCATTAGACTCAAGCGATGAATCTAGTAATGAATTCAGTATTTTTTGTCTGCGAATTGTTATCTTGGCAAAGATAGCCGTTAAATTTGGAAGATAGAGAGAGTTCGTTGAAAATTGCAAAAAAGTTTACAGTCTTGGCGAATACGTCACAATTGATGAAAAAGTAGAACCCTTTCGGGGAAGATGATCCTTTTACCAATACATTCCAAGTAAGCCTGCAAAATATGGAATTAAAGTTTTTGCTCTAGTTGATGCAAGGACATTTTACACTTCAAACTTTGAAATTTATGCAGGAACTCATAGGGCCGTGTAGCTCAGAAAATGTCCTGATAAAGTAGTCACAAGGTTTAGGGAGCCTATTTTGAATTCAGGGAGCAACCTTACTGTTTACAACTGGTATACCAGTTATACCTTGGCAAAAGATCTCTTTGAAACGAAAATTACGCTCGTGGATACTATCAGAAAAAATTAAAAAGAACTGCCAAAAGATTTTACTTGTGGCAGAAAAAGAGAAGTTCATCATTATTTGGATTTCAAAGAAATATGACATTAGTTTCCTACACACCAAACAAAAATAAATGCATTGTTCTGTTGTCCACCATGCATAATGATCACCATGTGCCATCGATGTTTCAACTGGAGAAGAAAAAAAAAAAAAAACTCAGAAATTATAACTTTTTATGATTTAACGAAGGGTGCTGTAGATGTAGTGGATTGAATCCACTTATACTACTGCTAGAATTAGAAATATATGGCCAATGACAATATTATTCAGTATGTTTAACATTGCAGCTATAAATGCTAGAATATTATTGTTATCTGCGAACAATAATATTCTATTATTATCTAATATTATTGTTATGCCAGCAATGCAATATAGGAAACGAAGTTTATTTATCAAAGAACTTGCATCAGAACTTTTGAAGGATCACATTCAAGAAAGAAGTTTGTAGCAAAATCGTCCACGCCAATTGAGTTAAAAATTAAATTGCAGGCATAGGGAAGGTTGGGAAGGACATGCAGCAAAAAAAAAAAACAGAAGTGTTCCAGGAAAAGGTGTCATATATGTCCTAGCGTAAAGGACCGAAAATCACAAATTTGGTATACTAATGCGAGAAAAATGTTTGCAGTAAATACAGCATGATTTTTGCAAAAATGTGAAGTTTTATTTTGAAATTATTTCTATAAAATTGTGCACAATAAGAAATCAGTTTGATTTTTGTTGTTAATGATAAATAATTTCAATCTTAAAATTGTTTTAATATACAATTTTATTGGACTTATTAAATTAAAAGTATATTTTTATCCACTCTGTTTTTATTATTTAAATGTTTTTCTTCAATTACACAAGCAATTTTATTTTTGTTTCGTTAAGAAATAACGCTTCGAGCCTACGAAGCCCGACGCACGTCCTCGAATAGCTAAAAGTAGCGCTCGTCTTCGCGTGTTAAAAATGCAAAATCATCTCATGTTTAAATTATTAAAGTAAATATGTATACAGTCAAAAGTCGTTAATTCGGACACTCATAATCCGGAATGATCTATAATCCGGACCTCAAAGCTACAAACTTTCTGCGCATGCATCGCATTCACGCATGCGCACAGGCGTTTACGAGTGCGCGTAAGACCTTTACGGCTGCGAATATGTTTGTGCGCATGCGCGTGTAATGTGTAACGGAGGTATAAGCTAAGCTAAGATTATCTAATTCAGTTAATGTTACATATTGCGTTGTTCCTTAATCTTCGAATTGGATCCGGCTTATTATTTTTTGAAGACTGTTAGAGCAATTTCATAAAAGTAAGCTTGAACTTTCGATTATGTCAAATAGAATTTCCGATATATATTTACTAATATGTAATTTGTATCTACAAAGCAAAAGTATGTTTTGAAATCTGAAATCTGTTTACAATTTCACGTTGGGGATTGGAAGTTGATCTGTCAGCACTATCCTTATCTTCAGGGCAGATGTTTTTATTTTATTTGGTTTTTAATTCCTTACTAAATGTAGTATTTCATTTCGATATGATTTAAATCAAGTTCCTCGTCATTATAATTTGCTTCCGATAGTGAAGAAAGTGACCCAGAGGTTATTGTAAACGAAAACATTTCGATTGACAAATTAGTCGGTATTCTCAACACAGCAATTATAGGACTTGAACAGCGGAACTTTGTAACTAAACAAGAAATTATGTCTGTTTAATAGAATTAAAGAGAAAGTATTATCACATGAAACAAAGCAACTTACATTGAAAGAAATGTTTAATAAAGTAAACAAATAAATATTAAGCTTTTTCTTTTTGTAAATTTTGATACCCTTTAGATCATAATTGTTCTTTATTTCATACAGTTTCACATTTTTAATTTTGTAATTTCTGCATGCCATCTTACCAGATTTAAACTGAAGATCTGTTATCCGGAAAAATCGATAATCCGGAATTGCCGAAGTTCCGACGAGTCCGGATTATCGACTTTTGACTGTATTACTAATTTTTTAGGAAATTGCATTTTACAACAATGAATAAGGGCAAAGAAAAGGCTGTAAATATTAATTATTTTAAATCCAATTTCTGTTATCAGTTTTTGTCTGCATGATGGCAGGAATGGAATAACATTTTTCAAGGTGAAAATAAAGCATTGTAATTTATTAGTGATTTATTGTTGATTCTGAGACGTTCTTTTAATGAGTATTTTCAAAAAATCAGATGTTTGGAAAAAATGTTATTGAAAAATAATGCTGCTTTGTTATAGGTTTGGAGTAACTTTTAAGTTAACTTTTTTTAACTGTTAGAGAAACTTTGTGGTAATTTTCCTTGCAATTTCCTACTGTTTCACATTTGAATCCATAGACTGTTAATCTTGTAGTTCTTTGGCTCAGAAAGATCAGCAATGATATTGTTCACCCTGCACAAGATGATGCAGTGTAATAAGCATGTGTACTCTGCTAGTTAATTTTATCCCATACTTCTTGGTTAATCTATGCAGTATCATAAAATAATACTCCTTATATGGTACAAAGTTCAAGATCCGGATGTTCAATATCGGGAATGATCCAAAATCCATACCTCAAAGGCCACTACCAACTTTTTTATTTTATTATATTCCCCCCTCCCATCTGTGTGCTGTACACATGTGCATTTGACCCCCCTCTCCCCTGCTAATAATAAAACATATATAGAGTCCTGATTCTTAATTTCACTAAATAAAATACCTCATTATTGAAGAATCAATCATTTTAGCAGAAATTTGTATGATCAATAATTTGGCTTCGTAGCTGCCAGTCATATATCTCTAACCAAAATATTCCACAATTATATCGTTGATTTTACACCTACTAATATTTTATACTCCTAATGCCAACCTGGCGAATCGTTATTTATTGTATTTTGCTTTTATCACCGCATGTTTATGAACACATGACAACTTGAGTAATGACTCATGGAGTGATACCTAAATAATTTTTTTTATATTAGTAATTGAGAAACAGCACAGTAACCTTTTATGTTCACATTACGCTCGGCGATGACTACAGATTTAAGTTAAATGCACTTAGAAATGTTGACAGGAAAAATTTAACAAAAATTTCTCTTTCCATATGCTAAAAGTAGATTTTGTTAATGATACTCATAGGCCAAAAGATTACATTTAGTGCTATTTGAATTAAGAATAAGTCATTTGTTATTCACATAAACCCAGAACCAGCACCAGAGTTCATATGGCCACACCAGACAGCAGAATTTAGGGAAGACGAAGGGAGAACTTGGTTGCAGAATTTAGGAGCCACAGAGACTGCATCAGGTGCCAGCCTTCAATAAGTCTTAAGTATATGTGCAAATTTATTTATTCAGGTCTCGTATAAGCATGTGCAAGATATAGGCATAAAGTATAATAAATAACTAAACTAATACAATTCAGGCTTAATTGTCTCAGTATACGATAGAAGCAAGATAAAATTTAGCTGAACAACTTGTATTTAGTCGCCATCTTATAATACATAGCCAAATGTGTATAAATTTTATGATGATAGCAGTGAATCTGAAAGTTTTAGGATATCGCAAACCAAAGGTTATATTTTCCAATTGGTGTATTTTATAAAGAAATGTGGAGAAACGGTAATAAATGAAGAGGATATAAAAGAAGTTTTTAACTGTGATGATAATGCTGCTCAATTATTGATCAGTTACCGGATGGCGAAATCTGTAGTATGATTCTAGATCCAGAAAATACCGCTGCAGACAGAGGGACAGAGAGAAGAAAAAATTTCGATTGACAAGTTAGTCCAAATTCTAGTCGGCAATTACAGAATTTCAAAAATGCAACTTTGTAACTGAATAAGAAATTATGTCTGTCTGTAGAATTAAAGAGAAAGGTATTACCACAAAAAATGAAACAACTTAAACATCTTGAATGTTTAATAAAGTAAAAAATAAATATTAAGCTTTTTATTGTAAATTTTGATATCCATAAAATCATAAATGTTTCATTATTTCATAAATTATGATTTCATATTTTTAATTTTATTATTTCTACATACCATCTTACTAGATTTAAAGTGATGATCTAATATCTGGAAAAATTCCAAATCCGGAATCGTAGAAATCCTGATGAGACTGGATCTGGGACTTTGTACTGTAATATGGCATTTGGAAGGACATTTTGTTGACTGTGTTTTATGAAGGAAAATTTACTAGAAGAAGGTTCTGCTTAAAGATTTTACAGAATGCACCAATTGACTAGATAGATGATATTTCTCTTCAGGAACTACGAGCATTATAATTTTAACATATGTGCTTCAGATATCATTTATGTGATGCAACCCTTCATTTCCGAAACTGTTGTGGAAAACTTACAAAATCATAGAATTCATCAGCAGCTTATTATTTTACTATCTCATTAACTTATAAAGTTTCACACAGTCTTGCCTTAATAATTTTCCAGCAGAACAAGCAGATCTCTAAAAATGTATTTACTGTGACCATACAACCATGATTTCATTGTTGTGAAAAATAAATATGTTTACTGGATATCTGTGTTCAGAAGGGACAATAGTTTCAACTTTCCTGATTGATGGTGTATGATGGTGGTGTATTTAATTATGGCAAAGCACACTAGGGCTGTCTGCCTCAGGGGAGGGATGCCTTCATGGAGGACTTTCTAAGGGAAACTGGCTCGTATACACATTACACATGGGGAAAACCACGAAAACGCCCATGCAGCCAGCCCGTTCGCGGGATTCGAATCTCGGACCGAACTACCAGTGTTCAGCAACTTTACCGCTCGGCCGCTGGTGGGCCCCTGATTGAATAATTTTTTAATAAATTATTAGGGCACTTAAATGCACCATGCATTCTGGAATGTGAAAAATGAATGTTGGCATAGGCAGTGCAATCACATTTGTTCAAGTGCTTGGACATAGTCCAATGTGTAAAAGATGGAGAATTACTTAGCATTTCTTTAAAGTTAGGTAGAAAACCTTCGAGTGCTTTGCCATAATCAAATAAATCAAACCAAACTATTTCTTTGTAGCTAGCATAGAAAACAAAATCGATATTTGTGAAAAGCATCAGCAATTCACGATGAGACATAAATAGCTAAATTAAGTCAATCCTGGAAGTTAAGTTAGTTCTTATATGTTGAAATAACTATGTAAGATGGATGTTCAATTTTATAAAATCTGTGCATTTTCTTATATTAAAAATTAATAAATTTAATTTAAAAGAGGCTGTTTAAAATTGAAATGATATTCATATTTTAAATTCATAATTAAAAAGTCTATGCTGAATTTCAAATTGTATTATTGTATATGATTCTCATCTTAAAAAAAAATCAAATATTTTAATTGTGTTAAATTTTACATGTTTGTAGTTTAGCTACTTTGTTTTTTTTATAGTACTTCGATTAATAGAGAGAGCTGGTGCAAAACATAATAAAAGTTCACAGGACTACAGAGATATGATTATAAGTGAGCTAAAAAAGCAGAAGCTTCATTTCTATTATAAAATAGTAAGTATGTTAACTTTGTTCCCTCTAAAACTTTCTTGTATCTTGACTTTCATATAGAACTTCAGAAAATTAAAGTGATTTGTATAATATTCTGAATGTATGTTGTAAGATTCAAAAGTTCCCAGACTGAGTCTATAACGCAAAAATATTTTGCAGTAGGGCAACTACGAGAGGATTTTTGTGTTACTGTGTTCTTCCCCTTTTCTAAAAGTGTTGTGTCTCAAATCACATGGTGGAAAGCTCACGGCGACAGCGATTTTTCTAGGCAGGTGCATTTAGTAACCGGCGATAGAAAGAAATGGTGTCAGTTGAGCAGACAATCAATATCAATTTTGTGTTTACTTGGTAAAGAATATTACAGAGACTTTTGAAATGTTGAAGCATGTGTACAGAAGTGAAACGTTATCGAGAATGCAATTTTTTGAGTAGCATCGTCTATTCAGAGAATGCAGGGAAAGTGCCGAAGACGGCGAATGCTGTGGCCGTCCCATGACTTTGCACACCAATGAAAACATCAAAATGGTGCCTGCAACAGTATGTGCGAACAGGCAGCAAATAATTTGCCAAATCGCAGAATCAGTTGGGATATCGGAGGCAGCATGTCAGCGAATACTGACTAAGGATCTTAACATGCATAGGGTGTGTCAACAATCAGTCCTCACATGTTAAACGTAGACCAGAAGGGAATTCAAATGGAAATGGGAGGAGACTTGATCTCGGCTGTTGACAAAGCTCCTTCCTTACTTGGCAGAATTGTTATTGGAGATGAGAAATGGTGTTTTTTGTACAACCCGTAAACCAAGAGAGCATCGGCAACGTGGAATTCACCACAATCTCCACAGAAGCAGAAATTCCACCAAGATCACTCTAAAGAAAAGGTCATGCTAGAGGTATTCTTCAGTATCCAAGACATTGTGCATCTGGAATTTATACCTGAATGGTGCACTGTGAACAAAGAACTCGACATCGAAATACTGCGTCGTTTGTGTAAGTTGATCCGGAAGAAGAGACCAAAAATGTGGGCTGAGCAGTTATGGGTGCTGTTGCATGACAGCACTCCTGCTCACCAATCCCTACTTGTCAATGACTTGCATTGCAGGCTGAATTAAAGGACATGGCCAAAAATGGATTCCAGACATGCTTCAGTGAACTTTACAGGCACTGTCAAAAGTGTGTTGTTGCACAAGGGTCTTATTTCGAAGGAGGAGTTTCTGCAATTTAATTCATAATATTTTTTACGTTATAGACTCAATCCGGGAACTTTGGAATCCTACCTCGTATGTTAGCTAGCCATGAAAAATCAATTTAATATTATTCATACTGAGTGATGAACTTTCAGTCTGTCTGCACACATGCACATGCTATCTGCCTTATGTGGCTTTCAGTGTTTCGTAAATTTATCTGCAATGACAGTCCTTAGCTGTCATTGCAAATTGTAATGAGACAGTTCTTAGCTTAATATACTTTGAGTGTTTTGGAAAAGCAGAAAATCCTAAAGATTTTAGCAAAGCCTTCTCTAAAATCTCTTTAGTGAGATTTTACATAAAGGCTAGAAATGAGTGCCCATAAAGACCTAATATGGAAATCTAAAAAAATAGCTATGTGAAAGTAGTGAAACTTAAAAACTTGCTGTATATTCCGGTATATAACATGCACTTTCAATACAAAACATTAGATTGAAATTTATGGGTGTGTGTTATACGCCAGGTATAAAAATGATAGATTTAAAAATAAAGATTGAGCATAAAAAATTAGATTTCTATATATATCTAAATGCTGTTTATTTAAAAGAAATGACATAGCATATGAACTAAAAATTTTCATTATTGGATAACATGAAAGGTTCATGATATTCGTCTCCTGTTATATCTTCACAATCACTTTTACTCATCCATAAATAGATTATTATCTTTTGTTTCATCTAGATTGTTGGATATACTGCACTTTTTAAAAAGATTTGAATTATGTCGGGTTTAATTTTATTATCCACTTGCATACTATTTCTAAACAGGCATGATGCATTTGGGCTCATTTTGGAAATGTTTTTTCACCTTCTGACATCCACGTACTCCACTGTCGTTTTAAAATTTCTTTGAATGGTTTACTACTGATGCACACATCTAAAGGCTGAACTAATGGCATTAATTTGCCTGGAATAACTACCATGTCTGTATTACACCCTTTCAATAATTTCTTTGTATTATTAATTAGATGAGATCTGAACATGTCTCAGACTAAAAGACTTTCTGGATTCTTTTAGGCAAAAGGACACTTTTGCCAAACATTTCTTATCCACAATTTCACACCGTTCATCCTTTCTTGTAAATATGAATGAAAACACCCTTTGAAAAATTAAATTTTGGCATGATCGTTCTTTTAAAAATAACAATGGGTTTTAATTTTGAACAGTCCGCTAAGCAGGAAAGCTCTACGTTGAAGTGCAATATTTCTTGACCTGTTATTTTTATATGAACCTTTTTTGTTCCTTTCACATCACTTGCTTTATTATCTACAATAGCATTCTTTAAACTCTACAGCAGTATTCTTGTGGACAACAACATTAAATACTCTTTGCAGAAATATTTACTCTGTCAAGCATTTAACCCAAATACATATTGTTCCCATTATCACTTGTCAATTAGGTATATCATTGTTTGATAGGCTAGGACAATTCTTTGAATAAGTGACTTCAAAAGATAAGAACATTTCATATCTATCAAGAATAGGGCGCATGTAATATGGCGAATATACCTAAAAATAAAAAAAATGTAGCTTGAAATTATAGATGTGCATTATACACTGGTGTGCATTATATTCCAGAAAATATGGTAAGTATTAATGCGTAACTAAAGATAGAATATCTTATTAATTCTTTATTTTGTAACTGTTGTATATTATCTTGAACCTTTCATAAATAATTAACCATACACATATTGCTTTTCCCAGTCTAGTCCAATTAATGTTTGATTTTAAAGATTGTTACTGAATTTAAAATTTAAAACTTAGGCCAGTTATTTTAATTAACTGACTTTTTAAGAAGATTCCTGAGTTATAATCAAAGCTTTGTGTTTTCAAAAGTAGCTTATTTTATTTTGTAATGATGTAAAGGAAAAACAAAATGTTGAATTTTTTTTCTCTAGAAAAGTATGGAGACAAAATTTGTTAGGAATATTACTCGAGTTCATATGTTCATATCCTTCAGTAGTCTGTTAATTAATAAAAGAGATAACCTCCCTGTCCCCCACCCTCCCCCCGTCCCCCCCGAAAAAAAAGGAAGAGAAAAAAAAAGAGAGAAGAAAAGAAGATTGCTCTAGAATGCTGAAAATTCACAGCTGCATGAGGTAATCATGCATAAAATTGAAACAATATTTAACTAAAGCTGGTATTAAGGTCTGCCAAAAGAATGTTTTTAAACTGAAGAACATTTGCTCTAGGACAGTGTCAAGTCGCATGTTGCTGATGTGATCAACTTCTGAAGTTTTCTACTTCTATATTTCGAGAAGTGACTTCAAAAGTACCAATTAAGTTGTCAATATTCTTTGTGGGCATCTAATATTGCAATGACTGTATTGCATTAAAAAACTCAAGATCAAGTAAGCTTAAATATGGACTATTTGGAATAGTAGTTGCAAATTGCATCCATCTTTTAAACATTCCGCTATGATACTGGGATCATCCACTGCCAAATAAGGTTTGGCATTGTCTTGTGTGTACATAGTACTTGATTTTTCACTACTTGGAAAATTTCCATGTATAGCCGGCAAAACTTTTTCTATAATCATTTTTCGGGTTCGCAGTTTCTTTTGCTTGATTTTTTTAGTTTCTTTTTATATTTTCTGAATAAACAAAAAGCAATTTTCTAATTTTTTCATCAAACATTTCGCTTCCTGTCAAGTCATATCTTGGTCTTGCCATTACTGCCATAAATATTACTCTGTTACTAAACCTATTGCTTTTGCAATGTGCCTTAAAGGTTCAGTTTCATTCAGGGGGATGTAAAACAAATTACGAGTTTTTATAATATAAAACCATTTTTCATCAGTATGAATACGATCCCATATTTCCGAAAAGCATCCATTAGATTGAACATGCTGTAAACAAAATCGAATTCTGTTGAGCTTATTTTTTTCTGTTAGACTTGGTTTCATGATAGATGAAATACGCTTCAAAACTTTTCCCTCCTTGAAAATCCTGTCTAATGTTGATTTAGGGATACTAACAGCACACAATAAACTTTGCAGTGATTGTCTTTGTTTTATTAGGACAACTTTGATTTTGCTCAATTGCTCAGAAAAATCTTTTTTTGTCCGCATTTACTGATTTTTTGTGAACTTGCATTTCAAATTTTATCATAATTTATTTTTGACGTCTTAGCCTGCTTCTGCAATGGGATATTGTACTATGATGAACATTAAACTTCATCCCAGCAGCATTTATAGCACCATGGCTTAGTTTATGATTTTCCAAAGGTTGCAGTAAAAATTGCAATACAGTGTTACGCTTTATATTATTAATTTTCTTCTTTAGGCTATTTTCTAAATTGTTATTCATAATTACAATTATCATCACTTTTTTATTAAGATCAAGTCACATTACTTCTTATTCTCATTACTTCACATTTGAGTTAGCATTGCCTCTAACACCTAATACTATAATGCGTTAGTACATTGTATAATTTTACTAGTGTCCATTTACCTGCATTGGAAGTTATTTATGACTCCACCTACTTGAAATGTAGCAACTAATCTGGGACAAAATTTTCAACCTAAACGTAGCAACTGATTTGGAACTCAGGGAGTAATTTATTTTACATCAGAATCATATAAAAATAATTCAATAACCTGGATCATGCATTATAAAGTCAACTTAATACAATTTGGAATTTTTTAAAATTGCATCACTGCTTCAGGGAAACTCTCCCAGAAACTCCCAGTTTTTGGGCAAGAACCTCCTGGTTTTTTATATTTCAAAATTGGTAGCTATGGGAAGTGAGAACACTATGGCAGAAGTGCTAAATAGTCTTTCTTTCACTTTTGACATGTTCATAAATTGATGTAAAAATATAACTTCACTTTGAAAATAAAATAAATGGTGTCTTAATGGGCATCAGTCTTAAAATATTTTATTCAACTGACATAGAATAAAGGTGTGCTGCATTTATGTAGTTTAATTATTAAATTGCAAGTGATTTTTTTTCCTATGATTATTTCCATGCTACATATTTTTCAGTCATTTTCAATTTTCATTATCAGGAGAAGTTGAATATATATTCAGTGTAATGCTAGTAACATTTATGGCATAAGAACTTTTAATTGTGCAGCAGAACATTTATCTGGAGTAAATGGAACTGCAATCCATCTGGATATTTGAAAAATTTGCATAGTTGAGTTCCCCCCTTTCTAGTTAAATTGTAATACAACAAGAGTTTTTTCATTGTTTATTTACCAAATGCTATTTTATTAAAGATTATAATTAAATAAAGTTCCTTCTTTAAAAAATAATTTTTTGACAATATTAAACAATGAATCTTATCTATTTCTTTAAACACTATTGTATTACTAACTATTTCTGTTTCAACCAATGTAAAATAATGAAATTGATTAAATATTATTTATTTATGTTAGCTCTAAAATTAAAAAGAGAACAATAAGCTCATAAATGTACTTGAATGCTTTTATATTAATATTTACAGGTTATATATTTATCAAATGTAGGCTAACATTATGTGTATATTGATCTAAATGAATTGTACTTTCTAATTATCTATGCCTCCTCCTGAAAAGTCGTCAAACATTGGCAATTAATTTTTTCCAGGTTAACACAAAACACAATGGCCATTGTAAAAGATAGTGGGACACTAAGAATTACACAAAACAGCAACAAATTAAAAAAAAAAATAAATAAAATAAAAAATGCAAGAAATATTTACAATAAAATAGTCTCTTTTTTGTGTGTGTGCTATTTTCTTCTTGTATACATGACCTGTGTTAGCTTTGGAGAACTGTGGATAACCCAGCTTCGACATAATTTGGGACTGTGCACACTATCATTTGCCCCATGTACGCTGCAATCTGTTTTCATTTAAATAATCAAAGAACTGCATAAATTTGACACTGCGCATTCTTCTTATTCTTCTCTCTTTCTTCCGCCCCCCACCAAATACAGCATTCTTTTTTTGCTTATAAAGTATAACTTTGTGGAATATGAATTTTTGCATTCTCTTTTGTTAGGCAAAATACCATATTTCTGAAGAAATTTGATGCTGTGTTTTTCATCAGCCAACAAACTCCACAGCGCCAATATGAAAGCAAAAAAGTGCACTCATTGCATACGCATGCATATCATATTATTATACATCTCATGTATTTCTAAAGGTCATTCAGACTGGATGATTTTTACCAGTGTTTTCTGCTTTTTCAGTCTTTTCATATGAAACCTCATCTTTCAACTTCTTAGAGTTTCCATGATGTTGTTACAAAATCTCAAAACACAAACAGCAGAGAATTCTTTTGTAATTCTCAAAAATACAAAAATCTTTCTTGGGACAGCTGTCTTGCTTCACTCCAGAAGTCCTTCCTCTGGAACAGATAATCCCGATATTGGCCAAGGCTCTCCTTTCCATACAACCAAGTTGGACCCTCCCACATTCAACTCAACAGGTCACAAGTTCGGGTAGGCAAGTGTACTGGGTTGACGTCCTCTGGAACGCATCTTCAGTTATCTAGATTGGTCAGTTCCCTGATATTTTTCTATCAATTTTCAATGGATGTGTTCAATGGTTCTCTGTTCATGATCCATGCCAAAACTATCATCGAAACTGTCCAAATCACAAGATCGTGGGAGGATAAGTCTCCAGATACTTTAAAAATGCTTGGCATAATTTATGGTCAGCTACCATATTTCATGGTGAGGGTGCTGATTATGATAGCCACAAATTTTAAGGTTTTCGGATATCGTAAAGCAAAGGTAAAATTTTCCAGTTAATGGATTTTGTAAAGAAATGTGGAGAAGTGGTAATAAATGAAAATGATGTAACTGAAGTTTTTCATTGCAATGACAGTGCCCCAATCATCAGTCATTTAATGGATGGTAAAATTTGTGGAATGGTTCTAGATCCACAAAATACCACTAATGATAGTGAAGAAAGGGACTAAGAGGTTATTGAAAATGAAAAAAATTTCTATTGGCAATTTAATCGGAATTCTCGACACAGCAATTACAGGACTTGCACAGCAGAACTTTGTAACTGAACAAGAAACTATGTCTGTTTATAGAATTAAAGAGAAAGTATTATCACAAAAAATGAAACAACTTAAACAACTTAAATTGAAAGAGATGCTTAATAAAATAAACAAATAAATATTAAACTTTTTTTTTTTTTGTAAATTTTGATACCCTTTAGGTCATAAATGCTTATTGTTTCATAAACCATGATTTCATATTTTTAATTTTATACTTTCTGCATGCGATCGTACTAGATTTAAATTGATAATCTAATATCCGGAAAATCCCAAATACGCTGACCTCCCGATGAGTCCGGATCTCAAACTTTGCTTAGTACATACTAATGAATTGACGAAATGGGTGTTAGCAAAGTCCTGTGATATGGATGAAACATAGGTATAAAGATGAAAATACTAGCTAGAATTTATAGAACATACATTAAAAAAGCAATATACAAAATTTGTGTAGAGGAAAAAATTGTGTAAATAAATTAACCAAGTTTGGCTTTAAATAGTTTTTAACCAGTTTTCCTTTTAAAAAATAATGAAAGGAATAGTAACAAATCCTTGAAAATATAGGCATGTAGAGTCATTAGGTATTTTAAAGCAGGAGATGGGAAAAATGTGAAATGCTTTCACCAGTACTCGAATTTCACATTTTCATCCATTAAGTGAATGTGTAATATTTACTTTTATTGTCATACAAATAAAGATATAAATTTATGTTTTTTTAATCTTACAGGCAGTACCTGAAATGGCTATAACAGATGAAATATATGATGAAAGAAGAAGAGATCATATATCGCATTTCATACTTCGTTTAGCTTATTGTAGAAGGTAAATATTTACAGTCAAGAAAGTAAAGGAACAGTTATAAATAGTAGCAATGTAATGTTGGGAAAATGTTTTTATGCAAACACGTAATCCGCTTTAACTATCTCATCTTGATAATAGCAAGTTGTCAACAAACCATGATTTGCTTTATGTTTTAGTAGTGAAATTTAAAAATTACATGCTTGCATTGCAGTTGATGAAGAAATCGGTACATTTATACTGGCATTTGCTTCAACACTTTTTTCTGTTCTCCCAAAAATAATACACAGATATGATTAAAAAGAAATTTTAAATTTTACAAACTAAATGCTGGTTCAGTGTGTGATTAATCAAAGTTATATTTCTGATTTATGATATTTCTCATTTATCCTGCATTCTAAAACTTTCTTAAATGGCCATTTGTGTTTAAAGGAGCAGACCATTAATTTTTTGATAAAATTTTCTTAAAAAAATCAAATTTTTCAATTTTGGTTCTAGCTTTTTTCCCTCATATTAACCCTTTTTTGGATTTGTCAAAAAGACCTGTATTTAACCAGCATTTATTAGCTAAATTTGTAGAATTACTTAGTCTCTATTTTTATAAACTTACATTCGTTAAGATGACATTTACATTACTAAAGGAAGTAAATAAGAAAAATAAATTATAAGCTAATATACCAAGTGACAAAAAGAATCTCATGACTGGATAAAACTGTTTATGCAGCTCAGAGGGTTCATAAATGTATGTCAAAAAAATTTTTGTACAAATGGCATGATTAGTATATGTTTTCAGTGTCACTTGCATTTAATGGGAATGTTAAAAAAAAAAAAAAAAAAAAAAAAAGAATTCACATGCAGTTTTCTTTGTTTTTATGTAACACAAAACAGTTATACACATATGTTTCTTTGCTTTATTCAAGTTTTTTATTATTCAAAAAATAACTAATAAAGTGCTTTTTTTGTGAATGGTATTAATAATATAGTATTGTAATTATTTTTTAGTGTTTTTTTAATTAAGTCTTTCTTAAAAAACAACGTGGATTACTTTTTCTTAAAAGAACTCAAGACCCTGCGATCATTTCAAGATCCAAGGTTATCAAATAATTAGCACTGACCATACCCATAATAGGGAAGATGGTACTGCATTAGGTATTAAAAAGCATCTTAAGTTTTCCTTTTATATCCTCCCTACTCTATTGCACATAGAAGCCATAGCAGCTCTGATATATGGAAAAACAAATGAAGCATTCTTATATTCATCTCAGTCTATACCCACCTAGTCACATTATAACAAATCAAGACTTTCACAGTTTAACCTGTACTGACTCCCAGCTTTAATAACTGGTGATTTCAGCTTAACCTGGGAGAGATCGCGCGGGGCACTGAGTCACCTCATGTGTCGAAAATCAACAATCCAGACTGGAAACATTTCATGTTAATGAATCATCCTTCTAGTATCCTCCTGTCTGACACTCCCCTTGGAATGTGTATTGTTATTTTTACTTTTTTTCCCTTTCTCCCAGAGAAGCAATCGTTTCTTGGAATGCATGAAAGAACGGGGTAATTCAGTCACCCTGTGCAAACGTCATTGCTTCGAAATTTTTCATTAGGAGCAGTTTAGCTTGTTCTAGCTTCGTGCTTTGGAGTGTTTTCGTTACTTGTCTGTTGGATTAATTTGATAGATAATGGCTTACAAATGTAAATTTACAGAATATGAAAAAGAGATGGAACGTTTGAGAACTCTATTAGATGAAGTAGAGTTTTCTGATGAAGAAATTGATCAAGATAGTGAAAATGAATCTGATGAGAAATATACGTTCTCACGACAGCGAAAGTGAATTTGAGCAGAAAGATGAATACGACAAAAATCCTGATTTAGTAAAAAGTATTTTTATTAGCAAAAAATAAGAGTTTGGCAGAAAGGAAAAGCAAATCAAAAAGTGAAAATGTCTCAAATTATATAAACTCATTTACCAGGATTAAAAGGAACTGCACGCAATATAACGGAGCCTCTAGAGAGTTAGGAATTGTTTTTCAATGCTAAAATGATATGATCCATTGTAGAGTGCACAAATATTTATATTGAAAAAATATCTGTTAAATTACACCAGAGATCGGGATGCCAAAACGACAAATGATGTGGAAATTAAGAGTACTTTTAGGGCTTTTATATCCGTGTGGCTTGCATAAATCGTCACATACAAATACGCAATATTTGTGGGCTACTGATGGATTAGGCATTCAAATTTTACGGAACACAATGTCACATAAAAGATTTAATTTTCTTCTCAGGTGTCTACGATTAGACTATGTGACCAATCGTGAAGCTCGGGAAAAATTAGGACAAACTGGCAGCTGTAAGAGAATTTTTTGCGAATTTCAATGAAAATTGCCAAAAGGCTTACATTATTGGTGAATACGTCACAATCAACGAAAAATTAGAGAAATTTCGCGGGCGGTGTTCCTTTCGTCAGTATATACCCAGCAAACCAGCGAAGTATGGAATAAAAATATTTGCCTTAGTAGATTCTAGGACATTTTACAGCTATCATGGAGATATACGCCGGACAACAGCCGGAAGGTCCTTTCAGAGTTTAAAATTCACCATTTGAAATTACAAAACGCTTGTGCTCCCCTTTGTTTGGATCAGGCAGAAACGTAACAATGGATAATTGGTATACGAGTTATCCTCTAGCAAAAGAACCTTTTATCAAAGAAGCTAACCATTGTAGGAACCCTGAAGAACAAAACTGAAATTTCCCACCGAGTTCATCAAAACAAAAACTAGGAAAGCTTTATTCTTCTATACTTGGGTTCCAAAAAGATGCAACACCAGTATCGTATGTGCCTAAAAAGTCAAAATGTATAGTTCTGTTATCTACAATGCATCCGTGATGACTGCCATTGATGAAAATGATGATACGAAAAAAGCAGAAATAATTCACTCTTATAACGACACAAAAGGTGGTGTTGCCAAAGTTGATGAAATGTCATCATTATATTCGACAGTTCGAAAAACCAACAGATGGCTGATGGTACTTTTTTATTGCATGTTAAACGTTGCTGCAATAAATGCTTGAGTTGCCTTACTTATCAACAAAGACCCCTCCCTTACAATACAGAAATAGGAGGAAAATTCCTAAAAAATATGCCGTTATCTCTTATACAGCCCCACATAGAGATAAGAAAAAATATGCCAATACTTCCTAAAGTGCTTCGTGAAAGCATCAAAAATGCCACTTCTAATGGATCAGAGGAAGGTCCATCAAAGAAACCAAAACTCAACAAAGGCCGATGTGCTATGTGTCCGAGGTCTAAAGACAATAAAACTACAATTTCTTGCAAAACATGTGATAATTTTTCATGTAAAATGCATTCTTTCTATGTTTGCCAGAGGTGTATGCTGATTCCTTATCCCTGATTAGGTATGTATTTATTTTGAATGGAATTTTTCCTTAAATATTAAAATAAGTTTTCTTAAGTAAAGACGTATAGTTTCTTAATGAAATATTGCAATTATTGTTTATAATCAAATGGTTTTTATAAAATTTATAGCACATATTCCTAATAAAACTGATTGGGGTGACCCAGTCACCCCGCGCGATCTCTATTGTCAGTGATGGGTGCGCGCCTTCTGCTGGGTTAAAAAATCCTGCCTAGAATTCTGGACATCTCAACACATGTGGTAGAATTCTGAAGGATTTTGCTGCCCTGAATGGCATAAAAATTATAGGACTAAATGCCCCAACTGGAATAAATTATAATACTTTGTCAAAAGTCTTAGATACTTTTATTAAAAGGTTTACAACATACTCCACACATAGCAGTAGCAGAAGAAATGAGCTCAGCATATTTTCCATTGAATTTCTCCCTTTATGGACTATTATCCACCTACACCAAAAAGTTGGACCATTACCAATCAGCTTACATTCTGAGGAAAACTAGATTCATTAACTTGCAGTTCCAAACTTAAGTCTACCTTGATAAAGAATTTGCTATCACTAATCTCAACAACAGAATTAAAAAAGCACTTGTTGACTTGGTAAAAGTTGCCTGTTAAGAAAATTAATACTCTACCAGCTCATATTCTTGAAAAAAATCCGGCACACAAATCAAATAAGAAAACACTACATCGTAATAGAGTCAAAAGTCGTTAATTCGGACACCCATAATCTGGAATGATCTATAATCCGGACCTCAAAGCTACAGGTCCGGATTATACTAGTTTTAAAGGTTTATTAATTCAAAACTGGATTAGTTTTAAATTTAATAAACCATATATTATTTGACATTTCTTTTTAGTTTCATATTATCTTAAGGGAGGAAGAGAAGCTAAAAATTTGGTCTTTTTAATGTTGTTTATGTTTATGTTTTAATGTTGTTATCTTGTATATGTTTAGTATTTAGCTGTAATAATTTTTTTTCTAAATGTGAATTTAATTAATTGTAAATGTATCCTTTTATGTATTGTTTTATTGAAGAGAGGACTTAAGAAGATGGTTTATAAATCAAGAAGTTGATCTCTTTCGTTTTCGCTTTACTTCTGAGCAAACAAAAAGTCGGAAACTGTTTATGGACATAAATAACTTAAAGTATGAACCAGTAAGTAGTTTAAATGTTAACTTTTTAAATTATTTGGGTACTTACATATGAGTGCAATTACTTTGGTGCAATTTTGGGCTCTATTGCAAATGAAAAGGTAAAAGTTACTTATCGGATACCAGAGGGCTATTTTCACAACTTTTTTAAACAAGATTGCCAAATTATCGATATTTATCATAAGTAGTTAAACTTTATCAATATATTAAAATATTACTAAATAAGAGACATTATAATATGATACATTAACAAATAAAACAATGTCCTTCTTGATACCTTTCTGTAATTTTTTCCCACTGTTCTCTTTTCCATGTATACAGCAATTTTATTTTGCTTAAAAAAAATATCAGTGAGTTATACAAACTCAGGATTGTGCACTGGCTATCTAACAAGCTCATCGCATCATTATTGCCTTCAGTAATTTTGCTGTAAAATACTATATTTCTCCAAACACATTACTTTAGTTTCTTCCAATGTTGGCAAATTCCACAAATATGTATTTTAAAATTCAGTTAAAGGCAAAAAATATCAGAATTTGTGTATAAAAATGTTTGGAGCTGGGAATGGCAACACTGCTTGCTTGAAAGTTTGTTATGAGCAGGATTGCCTGAAGAAAGCTCATGTGCAATGGTTATCAGTTTCGTACATTTTGGAAATTTGGCCTCTTCTGCTAAGATGGTTGCAATAATACGTAAGCACCATTATTTGTTTAAATGCCAGTGAGTTTAGTTTAGTTTTTGTTTATAAAATATTACTTTGCCTTTTGAAATAATCAGTAACATGATTTAATGTATCTGTTTGTATTTAAAAATATTTCATTTATAAAATAACTAACCTTGATTTATGTATTATATAGAACTTCTTTTTTATTTTAGATAAAGCCAGAAGAAAAAGAGGATATATTTGAAAATTTATGTTTGGGACACTGTAATCCTGCAAAAGCACGAAGTATAGATTTCTATAAAGTAAGTTTTCTCTCATGATGTATTATGCAAATATTATTTAAACTTTTAAATTAATTTTATTTTTGCATTTAATATTAAAATGACTTAACAGATTTTTATTTGTGAACATTCTTATTTTGATAATTTAGTAGGGAACATTTTCTGCATTATTTTCTAATGAAAATGAAATTAAACTGAAAGCGAAAATAAAGAAGAATTCTAATTTTATACTAAATGTATTTTACACCCCCTACTATAAAACTCCATGCGAAAGTATTGGGCACTTACATATTATGTTGTCAACTGTAAAATTGTTGCCAAGCAGCATGATTTAGTGCAAATTATGGACAAGCATTGTGTAGCATACCTATATGCTTTTCCTTCATGTAACTCTCTCTGTATGACTGATTCTCGATAAGCCACTTCTTGTTTTTATGAACAAGGGTATAAGTGTACTGTTATATCTGTGTTCCCCTCCCCCTGCATTTTGGAAGGAAAAAAAAAAACACTCAAATTTGGACCTGCCTTTTTACAGCAGTGAATCATTTTCAGAGTTATGGGATCCTAGCATAAAAAAAAGTGTGTATTAATGGACACAATGTGGACAGATGAATATGTCCAACAAAACAGTACAGATAAATTGTAACAGTTATCTATAGGGAGTTTGTACTCATAGTCTTCTAAACAGGTGTTTTGATACAATGGGAGGGCCTAAAAAAATAGTAGAAATTGGCAAAAGCATTTTTACGAAAAACAAAAACATACTATGTCGAATACTGATTCTTTATTAAATAAAGAAACATTTCTTTCAGAATTCAGCTTGAATGACTGGCACAGCTTTCGTGGAATTTCCACTAACTTTCATGGCTTGATGTTAACCAACTTTCACAGTCAGTGGGGTAAAATATAAGTACCGTACTATATTTGACTGTTATGTAAATTGTCTTTCTCTGTTAAAATTAATATTTTAATAGAAAATATTTATTAATAATGCAACTTTTTTAAAGTCTTTTAAGAGACTGATTATGTAATGGCAGCTTCTTGATAGATTTCATCTACTAGTGCTTGCTTAATAGAAAAATGTAGTTATTTTACTTGCAGCTCTTATCTATGTAATCCGTATGGCAGCTTCTTGGCAATGATTTATATTTTATTATTTTGAAACAAATATCATTATTTTGTTTGTTTGATTTGCAGGATATAAGCTGGCCTTTATTTCTCATTTTACTGTTCATTTATACTTTATTAATTAATTATAATTAACCTTTAAGTTTTAAAATTATATTATGGCCAGTTTATCATGAAATATTATAATTGCATTTTAGTACAAATGTTTTAAAACATGTGGAAAACTTAATATATCAGTGATATCTGAATGATGAAAATGAAGCTTTATTTGCTGAGATCACATGCTAATTTATTCCTGTTGCAAAAATTTCTCCTATCTATGTGGTTACAGCTATTCTAATTCATAATTATTATTCATATTTATTTTTTGCTTATTCTGGTAAAATAACACTAATATATTCATGCCAACTGCTGATATTATAAACACAATCTAACAGTACATATTATATATACAGTCTGAAATCCGGACTCGTTGCGACTTCAGCGTGACACTCGTTGCGACTTCAGCGTGACACTCGTTGCGACACCCATTTTGTCAATTCATTAGTATGTACTATGCAAAGTCTGAGATCCGGACTCATCGGGAGGTCAGCGATTCCGTATTTGGGATTTTCCGGATACTAGATCATCAGTTTAAATCTAGTAAGATGGCATGTAGAAATTATAAAATTAAAACTATGAAATAATGAAGTATTTATGATCTAAAGGGTATCAAAATTTACAAAAAAAAAAAAAAAAAAAAAAAAAAAGAAGAGCTTAATACAGTATAAAGTCTTTAATCCAGACATTCATAATCCAGACCTCAAAGCTACAAACTTTCTGTGCATGCTTATGCGCATAATACCTTTACGCATGTGCATATGTGTTTAATGTATAACGGATGGTATGAGCTAGTTTAAAATTATCTAATTATCTATTTCAGTTAATGTTGCAGATTGCATTGTTCCTTAATCTTCTAATTGGATCCGGCTTATTATTTTTTGCAGACTGTTAGAGCAATTTTATAAAAAGTGAGCTTGATCTTTCGATTATGTCCAAAAGTGTTTCCGATTCTGGAGCTGCCAAAGGATCTACAAAGCAAAAGCATGTTTCAGTGTCCATCAAATAAAAAGTAGAATTGCTGCAAAAAATGGATAAAGGCATGAAGAAAGTGACAGAGAGGTGATTTGTTTCTCTAACCATTCTGAAATCTGTTTATCAATTTCACGCTGCTATGCAAGGGGGGGGGACGTTGCCGCGCACAGTGAACTGGAAGTTGATCTGTCAGCACTATCCTCATCTTCAGGGCAGATGTTTTTATTTTATTTGGCTTATAATTCGTTACTAAATGTAATGTTTCATCTTGATGTACTCCGATATGATTTAAATCAATTTCCTCAATATGATTTAAATCAATTTCCTCATCATTATAAATATCACAAATACATATCAAATAGATGTTGCCGTGCACAATGAACTGGAAGCTGATCTGTCAGCACTATCCTCATCGTCATGGCAGATGTTTTTATTTTATTTGGCTTATAATTCGTTACTAAATGTAGTGTTTCATCTCGATGTACTCCGATATGATTTAAATCAATTTCCTCGATATGATTTAAATAAATCTCCTCGATATGATTTAAATCAATTTCCTCATCATTATAAATATCACAAATACATATCAAATAGTTTTCTGGTTTCAATTTTCTAATTTCAACTATGCGTAATGTATGCTTTATGCATGCGTGCGTTAAAAGAAATTTTTAATAAAGTAAATAAATAAATATTAAGCTTTTTTTTTTTTTTTTTTGTAAATTTTGATACCCTTTAGATCTATGGGTATCATCAACAAAGTCTATTTTTAGCATATGGAAAGAAATTTTGGGTAAGTTTTTCCTCGTCAACATTTTTTAGCACATTTACCTTAAATCTGTAATCATCGCCAAGCGTAATGTCAGCATAAAAGCTTACCATACTCCTTTATTGTTCAATTACTAACATAAAAAAGTTATTTAGGCATCGCTACATAAGTCATTACTCAAGTTGTCATGTTTTGATAAACATGCAGTGATGAAAGGAAAGTATAATAAATAATGATTCACCAGGTTGGCGTCAGATCAACGATGCATCTACATGGAATGTTTCAGTTTGAGACACACAGCAATGGAGCCAAATTACTGATCGTTCAATTTTATGCTAAAATGATTGTTTCTTCAATAACAAGGTATTTTATTTAGTGTGGTAAGAATTGGAACTCTCCAGATGTTTTGTTATGCGCGGAGGGGAAAATCAAATGCACATGCATAAAGCCTACCAGAAAAATGTAGTTGGTGGTTTTGAGGTCCGGATTTTAGATCATTCTGGATAATGGGCGTCCGGATTTCAGACTTTGTTCTGTATATGGTGATAATATCTGGATAGATAGATGTGCTGATGATACAAACAAGCTAATAAAGGTACTGCATTTTAAGAATGCTTTATTTATGTTTCTGCTAATTTTTTTTTCTTTTCTAATATGGCAAATTTTTTTTTCATAGGTTCCATTTGTTGAAGTTCTAGACTTGATTAAAAACAAAAAAGTGTTTTTGAAAAAGGGGTTTGCATATATTCCTGAAGATGATATGGTCATAACTATTGCATCTGCATATAGAGCACATCTTTCTCATTCTTTAGCTGTGAGTTCAGTTATTTATCATTGTAATTTTATTTTTAAAACAATTGTTTAAACTGATATTTTATATTCTGTTATAGATTTGTATTTTTTAATAACCAATATTCAACTTGTTTATAGTAGTACATGTTTATAGATCTTGTATATATTGTGTTGCAAATTGATATATTAATCCAAGCAAAAAGCATAAGAACAGTTAACTGCATGCTGTGTTCTGAAAGATTTTATATATTCTGAAAATGTAGACTTGACCATTTTGATCAAAGAAAAAGCATATAAAGCAAAGTAACTAATAGGACTTTAATTATAGATTACAAATATAATTAAAGTCCTATTAGTTACTTTGCTTTAATTATAGATTATAGTTATTAATTAACTAATAGGACTATAGTTATAGGTTAAAAAACTAATCAAATCTTCATTTAAAAGTTATTGTTAATGATAAAATAAGTATGATTGTTATTAAGTTTCTGCTTAATCCTCTGAGCGGCACGGGTTTTTGGATCTGTCATGAAGACCTGTATTCAAAGACACTTCATTAGCTAAATTTGTATATTTACTTACTTTAGGCTCTATTTTCATAAACTTACATTTATTTAAGATGATATTTATATTATTAAAGAAAGTAAGAAAGCAAAATATCATAAATTATAAGCTAATATATAACAAATGACAAAAAATCTCATGACTGGATAAAGCTGGCCATAACGCTCAGAGGGTTAAGGAAATCAAAGGTATAGGTTAATATATAAAGTATTCTTAATGTAATGGGATAATAGCAGTTTTCAAAATCCACTTGATATACCACTGTTGAATACCAATTATATATTCATATTTTATATCAATGATTTGTATTCTGTCCAGTTACTTTTCTTTTACAAAAATTGCTGTAGCTTTTTGGTTTTTTGCATACTTTTTTTAATAATATGTTATTTTTTGTAAAGTTTATTTTTAATTATGTTATTTTTGTAAACATAACAGAAAACATTTTATCATGGTAATTTGTCACTAAATTTAATTTTGGAACATATTTTAATTAAACTTTGGGCTACTATCAGATTATATGGTGAAGAACTGTAATCCTGTGATTAATCATTAAATTTGGGATTGGTATTTTTCGCTGTGTCAAAACCTACTTTTTTCCCAGGAAGAGGCTAGAACTATGGCAGTATTTCATTCTTTCTGTATTCTTATATTGTTTCATTAGGTTTGGTGATTATATACCATTTTACCAAATTTAAATGTTTCAGCTCTGCAACATATAAGCGATTGGCAAATTTTTTCTCAAAATTTTCAAATATAGTAATGTTATTATGATGTCATTAATACATTGAGTGCCATAGAACTTTTCATGAATCCAGTCTAATAAGCCAGTTTTTATGTTGTAGTTGACGTATTAACAGAAATTTTTTCGCAAAAGCCAAGTACAAGATAATTCATGTGTAGAAATAATTCAACCTTTCACAATCAGAAACTGTGTATAAATTCGTTAGTAATAATAGAGATATAGGGCCAAGCACATCACATTTGTGTCTTTCTTGTGTGTGTTATTTTATAATCAAGTTATAAATGCCTCAATATGGATAGGAAAAGACCACTGACTGTAAAAGAAATTGAGTTCTACTTTAATATTCTAAGTGATCTGGAATTTGATGAGATTGTCAATGATGATGATAATGACAATAGCGATTATGTACCTTCTGAGAATTCAAGTGGGAACAGTGATGATGAAGTCATCTCTGAACCTGAAGATGGGATGATTCTCGAACATGAAGACAATCACGGTGCTTCCCAAGAAACCACTCCAAATGCAAATGATAACTTGTGAACAGGAAATCACCAAATTCCTGAACTATTTATTTTCCAAGAAAATGTTGGTTTGAAGTTGGATACAACAAATCTTGCAGTCCAAATGCTGGTAGACATATTGCTTTTTCATGAATTTCTTGCATTACTGGTCAAACAAATAAATTTATATGCTATACAAGAAATTGGAAAATATAATCAAAGGATTGGATTATTCAATTATGGCAAAGCACATGAGGGCTATTTGCCTAAAGGGAGGGATGCCTTCGTGGAGGACTTTCTAAGGGAAACTGGCTTGTATACATGTTACACATGGGGAAAATCACAAAAACGCCCATGCAGCCAGCCCGTTCGCGGGATTCGAACCTCGGACCGAACTACCAGTGTTCAGTGTCTTTACCGCTCGGCTGCTGGTGGACCATAATCAAAGGAAACAAATCTGTGAGATTGTTACAGTAAAAAGACGTTAGCTCTGCAAAAATTAAAGTTGATTTTTTTTTATTTCTATTATAAATGGGCCCTTGTTCTTTTCCTTGAATGGAACACTACTGGAGTAGAAACAAAATGCATAATGTAATGTTTTGGTGATCATGTACGAGTCAAAATAGATTTCAATTGTTATTGTAGTATTTGCACTTCATTGAGAACTCAGTACCATCTCCCGACAGATTAACATGGACCTGTTCTAAATCATTTCAAGGATATTATTTGCCAAATAAAAATATTTGTATCAATGAATCAATGATGTTGTCTCGTGGAAGATTGCATTTCCGGCAGTACATAAAGAATAAAATGCACAAATACAGTGTCAAGCAGCATGAGCTAAGTTGAAGCCAATGGTGTTGTTATGAAAATAAATGTTTACAGCAGAAAATGTAAGGAATTTCAACAATTTAGGTCACTTTACTGATGTTGTCTTACACTAACTTGAGGACTACATTAATAAGGGGTATGGAGTATACATGGATAATTTTTCTAATTCTGTTGCCTTTATGAAATTACTAACTGCACAAAAAATGTATGTGAGCAGAACTCTACAAAATAACAGAAAGAGGAATTCCTCAGATGTGGGAAATCACAAACTGAAAAATGTAAAGGTTTTTTTGGCAGCAAAATGGTCCTGTTACTGTTTGTGAATGGAAAGACAAGGTATCCTTACCATTTGAAATATGCATGTTGTTGAAATGGTAGAGGTGTCCAATCACAGTAGAAAACATTCAATGAAACAAGTGGCAGATTGGCCAAAGGAATCGGTCCTGGAAAAAATACTCTGGCCCTAAGGCCTCATATGAAATGTCTTATACATATAAGTTATCATTATCATAATCATCAACATAAAAAATACTTTTATAAAATAAAAATATATCTTTGCAGGAAAGTAACACCTCATTCATACATATATACGTACAAACTACGAAAAATAAATAACAGTGAATAATTATATAAACAAAACAGCAGTTGATTTATAATTAGTTATTTAAATATTTTTTAATTCCAGGCACCTGGGCAAATATTTCCCCTACTGTATCTTCAATTTTTGCTTTACTCAAAATATCCTTCTTTATGGTCATCAATAGCAATAACTACAAATTAGTTTGCTTCATAGTACTCTTTAATCTAATTTTTACAATTTTTAATTTTGAAAAAGCTGTTTCGTATTCAACTTGCATTATAGATAGGGTGAATACAAATTTATAAGCAAAAAAGACATTGGTGTACACGTTACTATATAAATTATATTTCAAGAGTAATTTATATACACACAAGACACACAATTTTTTGTAAAAATTGCATTTAACTTTGGATGAATGCTAATTAAGAGATATTCTCAGAAGTAAGAAGGAAGAGTCAGTCAGAAGGAAAGAGTGCTTGACTTGATATCAGTTTCAAAATAATGATTTTCAATTCAAAATTTTAATATTTCCCATTTACTTATTAGCTCCTGATATTCATCCTTAAGATTATCAATTGTTTCACCTGCATAGTGCCCTAATAATATAGATAACTAGTCGAAAGAGGTTGGCGACAATGGCTCTGAAAAGATTTTGCCATCGAGAAGAGATATATCTTCATACAACTTCCTATGCCCTTTAAACCTACTTTCCATTGATGAAATTATGTTATCCATTATAAAATTAAAGACAAATATTATATTAACTTTCGAAAGTTATATTTATTTCGAAAGATAATATATCTTTATATAATTTAATATATAAAGATATATTAACTTTCGAATTGCTTGACAGAGCAATTGAAATTATAGTATGATGATTCTTTGTCATCCATTTGCTTCACTTTTCAGCATCTTCTAGCTTGTAGTCTTCTTTTATAATTATATCAGCCTTTCTAGTTTATTATTACAATCCATTTCAAGCAATTTTGATGTGTTAAATATTAAATTAAAGTTTTTAGAAATGGCTTTTAAAGAGCTTGTAGCCTCCCTAACCATATTATATGGTAGTATGTAATCTCATCCTTTAGTCTGCACATATTTCGCTACTAGCTCAGTATACTGAAACATTTTCAAATATTCGTGAGCAGACAAAATTATTCTAAAAGTTGATATTTTGTCCAGAATATATTTTGCCATTTGCCATATCTGTGCATTTTGTGTATCACTGAAAGCAATACTTGTTATAAAACATGTTTATAGCCTCGGAATTTCACAACAAATTAATAAAAGTAGAGAGCAAAATGATTCCTCCTACCTTGTATCCAGCGCAGTTTCAAGTGAGAAGACAGCTAATTAAGTTGTAATCCAAAAAAGGTTGTAGACAAAAATTGTAAGTGAAACACATTTTTATTAATACACGAAAATAGATTAAGATTCGTTAGTATTAAAATACATATTGAAAAAGGGAGTTATATAATAGAGAGTGTCATATCACTGTCCTTTCCTGAAGGAGTGAGAAAAAGGTAAGAGTAAAGAATAAGTGAGTTACACAATTAACACCTTTGCAGGGTTTCCAGTTCATAACGTTTATCGTGCTATTAGCGACAGTCCACCACTATATACTTTTGAGAACAATACTTTTGAGTGCAAAGCATTTATAAGAATTTTCGGGAATACAGGAGACGCTGTAAATAAATTTAGGTATATCTCACTATGTTTCCATTAAAAATCATTTTTAATATTATTTGAGGACTATTAAGTTTAAAAGCACTCTCTTATTTTATGGAAATAAATCTTTTCACATA